GAAGGAAGGAAAGAAGGAAGAAACAAACAATGAAAGGAAGGAATGGAAAATGAAGGGAGGAAAGAATAGAAGGAAGGAACCTTGTGGTTGCAGTGTGAAAGAAAACCAGATGAAAACTAGTCTGACAGTCAGCAGTGCTTTTAGCAGTGGGCGACAGGTTTGTTGACAAAGTTGAAGAATAAATTTTTTACCAGTGTAGAGAGCTCTGTGTGTGAATATGAATCTAGTGCACATGTGCTGGCGGTTTCACGTGGCCTAATTGTGGGTAGGGTGGTGTCTCTCAGGGGACTGAGATGGATGAGAGTGTATTTAAATGGATGCTCTCATTTCACAAATTAAGTTTGTTTGGCAAAAGCAGGACAGCAATTCACCGACATGTAGAAGCACAATTACAACACTCAGAGCTTTAGATGAGTCTTTTGAAGAACTATAGAGAGTGCAAACACATACACTGACACACACATATACATGTGATCCCAGATTAGGAGAGGTCACTTGTCAAATTCTCAGTTAAGAACTCTAGGATGGTGCTAATGTGTAATGCCATGGCTTTCTCCCCATCCTTTTCCAATTCTTTCCAATCCCAGCAGACACAAGGATCCTGGAGTGAAATGGAGGGGGGCACTTACCCGCCACATAGACTAGGAAGGAAAAAAGGAAGACCAGAACAGTTTCCATGGTAACTGCAATGGGGGGAGAGAGAGAGAGAGAGAAAGAGAGAAAGAAATAGTAAATAGAGTGAAAATCGGTGTTAGTGGGTTACATGCTTACCACATTCAGAAAGACTAGAGAGTTCTCACAAGCTTACAACATACATAATCACAATTACGCTCTGTCCTTGACTGGCATATTGTCATTGTACCTATGCAATAGCGCAATAGTCAGACAGCCTGACAACATCAGGATGAATTTAAACTCCCTGTAGACTCATAAATCACAGAAAAACATCTTGTGGTTTTTGAAATCGGTTCCTTGCATAAACATTTTTTGCCATTCTTTCTATGATACAATATTGTAACGATAAAGGTGTCATGCAACAGACAGGATTTGGGTGGTATGCCCAAAATCTTTTATCACATTGAGTAATTCGGTATATATTTTACAATATAAAAACAGACACTATCTTTCAAAAGTTTGGGATCGGTATGATTATTAAATGTTTTTTTTTTTTTTGTGCGGCACTTATGCTCACCAAGTTTGCATTTATCAAAAATACAATAAAACAATCATATTGTGTACTATTACAAAGTTAAAATAACTGTTTTCTGGTTTAGTACAGAGGTCGGCCGATATATTTGTCATTTTTTAATATATCGGCATCGGCCGATGTCCGTGTTTAGTAGCGCTGATTTAAAGTCAGGCACGTCCGCGGGCAGCCCCGTGTTATTGGTGCGGTGGAATGTGCTGCTGCCACATGTGAAGGACCCCAAGCCAAAACTTTTGGAAGATTCAACAACAGTCCTGGAAGATAAAGGTAAGGCTTAAATTCTGATATTTCAAAGTCCTATGGTCATATATTTACTATATATTACTAGTAAAATATGGAGTGTTGCTTCACTTAGTGAAAGAAAAAAGGAATAGCATAGAACCATAGGGAACTGGCATAATGCTACAGCTGGTTAAAGGTTCGCTTACTTGCAGTTAACTTTAAGGACTGTAGTCGAAAACTATCGGAGAATTTCACTCTGTGCGTGGGGTGGAGAAGGTGGCAGCTCTCACAAACACTGCAGCGTGATTGAGGGCTACGTTACTCCACCCCGCTCACAGACAGCACCGTGCTCGGAGACACAGAGCTGTCCTGGAGCAGCCCAGAACGGTGAATGACATTTGTTCGGAAGCATGGTTTGATGCAGACAATAGCCGGGTTTCCATCCAACTTATTAGCATATTGCATTAATGAAAAAAAAGCAGAAGAATATGCGCTTCTGCGTGTGTTTCCATCAACTGTGTAATGCGAATAAAAATGGACATCAGCCTAATAAAAGTGACGTGTTCCGACCAATATATACGTCGCACAGTTATTATCCTCATTAAACCTGTCTAACGTTAACCGTCAAGCTCACCACCTCCAGGCTTACAAAGATGCACAGAAAGAAAAATAAGACGCAGCTGCCTCTACAGCCAATGTATCTCAGCCAACTCTAACAGAAATGTTTGATGCCCAACGTAAATGGCAGAATTCAGATCCCAGGTCAAAAAAACTTGACACTTCAGTTACGGAAATGATTGCCACAGACAATCATCCATTTACATTTGTCTCAGGTATTGGTTTTCGGAGGCTGGTGGCTGCAATGGAGCCCAGATACAACCTGCTAAGTCAAGTGCACGAAAACCTTTACGTTTTTATTCACAGTTGGTTACTTGATGACTTTGTTTTATATAAAAATGCAGAAAGTTGCAAAAAGCAGAACGTTAGAATGCACTTTAGATGTTCTGTGTAATTTATACCAAACATAAATGTTGCTGGTTGCTAGTGTGTTTGCAGCACTACCATTATTTATTTTTTATATATTTTATATTTTTCAGTCTAATTGATTTTTATTTATAAAGTTGTATTTATTTTATTTAAATGCATATTTAAGTTTACATTTATGTTCCAATAAACTTGAAAAAGTCTGCTTGATAAATGCTCTAAAACTTTTATGTAAATGATTGACAGTTTTTTTTTTTTATATTACCTGTTTTATATATTTAATACTTGGTAAGTTTATTGATTTGTTTGGTTAACTTTGGATAAATATTTTATTTTAATACCGTGCAGTGCACAAAATTAAGATTTGAGAGATGGTTCAAGTCAGTGTTCAATAAATGATGATGTTAAGTTTAGAAATGTTGTGCATCCACTAATTATTAGTGTGACATTTTAGCATGCAAATGAAGGGGAAAACTTCAAGATATCGGCCCTAAAAATCGGCAGCACATATCGGCTAACCCTGACCTCTAAACATCGGCATCGGTTATAGAAAAACCCATATCGGTCGATCTCTAGTTTAGTATTTTTGAATTTATAATTTATTTTATAATTTATAATTTAATATATTTTAACTTGTAATTTATTTCTGTCATGCAAACCTGAATATTCATTGTGCTGCTTTTTTTCAGGATTATTTAATAATAACAATTTTAATTAATAATAACTATTTGATTTATTTATTTATTGCGCAAACCTTGTAGTTATGGTTGGTTGAGTAAGTTGAGTGTGAGAACAAAAAGTCAGTGTCAAAATTAACAAAAGAGGATGACATAAGGGTAATGCTAGTAAAGCAGTCTTTATTGATAAGCAGTTTGAGACAGCTGATATTCAAGCAGGTTCTTAAAAGAATGATGAGGGACCTAACCCTTGTGTGGTGTTCATATTTTTGTTACTCAGCCAGTGTTCGTGGGTCTGGTGGACCCGCTGCAGTTTTGGGTTTTTAATTCAACACAATCAAAAATGATATGTTAAAATACTCAAGATGTTTACTTCATCCCAATTACAAGCAATATAAACAGCATATATTTTCAAAATTTGCCCTTTAGATTTATTAGATCACATTTATGAATTAAAGTGCTACAACCTTGTGCGGGAATGGCAGGGGCAGAAACACAAAACTCACACTTGCACTGACACTTACAGACTCTCTCTCTCTCTCACACACACACACACACACACACACACACACTGTAGGTGTGAAACTTTTAGGAATCTTATCCAAGTTGTAGGCTAGTCAATATGGGTCAGTCAGTCGTATATGACATATAGGATCCGCGAATGAAACGGTGACCACAAACACCATTAACTTAAAGGCACAATGTGTAATTTTCGCCGCTAGAGGGCGCGTATTCAAAACAAAGGCGTAGTTTGATGACGCTGTGACTGAGTGTGGAATCATGGGAGTTGTCGTCTTCATCCCCACAGCCGATGCAATCCGATGGGACTCGGGCAGAAATCATGTTCATGGATGCACTAATGATTTATTAACGTAGTAGAATGAAGCAGGGTGAGGCTGAAAGCCATCGAAGCGAAACGAGGCCGCTGAACGAGCGTGACACACGGCTCAAAAGCAGTGGAGCTTTTATTATGCCACAGTCGACCGCTTCCGCTCCTTCCGGTCATGCGTATGTGGGGTAAAGCAGTGCTGTTTTATCATACTAGATACATTTGAAAGTTCTGTTATAACGCTACTCTGTGCGGTCGTCACCGGTCTATTAAAACACACAACATATTAAAGTGTCTTTGGGGTTTCCATGTTTTCTACAAAACAAAACCAGAAATCGAGTGGTTATGCCGTCATTAGCAGGCGACACAATGACACTATAGACACGGTCCATTTCACTAGTTAAAATTGCTTATTTCTCTGGATTTAAACATTCTTTGAAACATTTGGCATAATGTAAGTACACAAGTTAGCAAAATATATAACACTGTTCTAGTGGTTTTTGGATATTTTAATAAAAAAATCTTACATATTGTGCCTTTAAGTGAATTATATGGCAATAATCAGTAATGCGTTCACACAAATAACTTTATTTTTGAATGTTTCAATGTGTTGACACAAATGACTTATTAGATTTTTTTCATTGATAAAACATGGCACCGAGTTGTTAGAAAAGAAATGCATAGAGACGTAGGCTACTGCTTGATGACATCAGGAACCGATGAATCGGCTTTTTGAACCGGTTCAATGAGCCGATCTGTCCGAAAAGAACCGGTTCGCGGAAATGAATCGGACTTTGCATCACTAGTACACATGAAGTGTGTGGAGACATGCTGATATCGTGTTTGGTCTCGTTCTGTATCGCGTATCTTGTCAGTGTCTGCGCTTGCTTGGCCATTTGTTGTGGAGAAAATAAGGAAAGTGTGTCCAGCTGAATAAATTTAGTGTTTTGTTAGATGGTATAAAAAAAGCTTAGTTTACCGCGGCAGCAGTCGCATGAAGGCCTCCTCGTGTGAAGACCGAAGAGTGTAAAGACCATCGACTCTACCGTGCGAATCCACCTGACAGTGACACCGGCAAAGGATAAGTATCGCTTTTTATTTCTCCTCTTTCCTATTACTTGTTTTGCTTCTGTTTCAGGTTTTATAACCATTTCGTACTATGTGTAAGTAAGTTGTTGTTTTTTAGCATATGTGTTTGGCAGTGTTA